ATCCATTGGCGAGCAAGCGATGTAATGCTACATTTCTCCAAATCTGTAAACGATAAAGAAACAAACTCAATCTACATCTTGGATGACCTAATGGTGAGTAGATTTTCCACAAATTTTCATTTTTGGGTGAAATATTCCTTTAAGTCTTCTGAAGTCATACAGTTATTTTATGTGAGGAAAAAACTCAAATCTACTCAAATCACATCTATAGCTAAAGCTATTGCATGACCTTTGGTCATCGTAACGCAAAGTTATTGGGCCACACATGCATTCTGACTAACAAGAACTCAAGAGCTTTAATTTCCATCTCCTAAAACATCTGATATCCTAATGCGTTTAATCATCTCTGTGCCGACTGATCAGAGAGCTTCTTCCGTCTGTAAGAATGTTTATGACTTATCTCAGCATTAGATTAAACTCCTTTCCCGTGAGGATTCGTGTCAAGTTGAGCAATAACTCAAAAGCTCATTAATTAGTCTTCCATTTGATTGCTTTTCCAATATCCAGAGATCATGGTTTGGCTCTTAGCATGCCACTCGACTTTTCGACATGGCAAACAAGTAAATGTATGAGTCCGTAATTGCTTCTTTGATCTTACTGCGGGTCACAGGTTCGCTTCCGCATCAGGATATGGAGAACAGGATATTTTCGGGCCGGAACCTTCAGTCATAAATGGCTTTGTGCAGAATTGTTTCTTTAAAAAGAAAGTATTTTGTCAGACTCCAAGGGTTGAAGGCAAAGCAAAAGCCTTTTTTATCTGGACTCAAAACAGAACTGTAATTTTCAGACTCCTTTTCAAAGAGAATCAAATTAGTCTTCAGTGGAAAGAGAAAAGACCTTTTTAATATTTCAGTTGTTTCTAAGATAGATAGATAGATAGATAGATAGATAGATAGATAGATAGGAAAGAGAAAAGACCTTTTTAATATTTCAGTTGTTTCTAAGATAGATAGATAGATAGATAGATAGATAGATAATGCAAAATGTATTTATTTTATATATGTATATACATATATATATTGCATTTACCCTAAATTCATTTTCAGATTGAAAATATATTTTCATTTGAAGGTCTCAAAATGTTTTTAGTTAGAAAAATATATTTTCCTTAAACTGCACTTTTTACAACATATGTTTAGCATATATTTGAAATATATTTTGGCTAGAACAAAAAACTTTTTTGGTTTTCGTTTTGAGAAAAAGACCTTAATAATTTCACTTTATAATCTGGCTTCTAGAGTTTTAGAAGAGATCTCAAACTGTGTTCATATTAATTTTGTAGCTCAGCAAGTTAATAACTGAAAACTCACATTCTTAAAGAGCAAAAATATGAGCCATAAGTTTACCTCCAAGCTGCGTTTATCCATCGTTTATCAATGTTTTGCATCTTTCTGGCCTTCCATGTTGCCCCCTTGAACATGGTGCCACTGGGAATGTGCCCAAATGCCCATATGGTCAATCCAGTCCTGCTTTTGTTCTCTCAAACCCATTCAGGCTGTTTTCATAGATGATTTAGTTATAGAGTCTGGCTTGCTACTGTAGTTTTCTGCTTGAAAGCAGCATGCATTTTCATTAACTTTACTGTTAGAGAGTGTTTTGTGCAATAGCTCTTTATTTTCTAAAATAAAGCTATTCTTTTCAGCATTACAATGGGATTTTCTTTCATTCAAGCAGCTGAGGGTGAAATATTGATACCCTGTTGATCTTACCATGAATTTGACCTAGGAACTCTTGCTTGTGAAGCTAAATTAAATTAATATTAAATTGTCATTTGGGAGAGCTGTAACCCTGGTGTAACCTTAGATAGATTGCAAATATATTAGTGGAATTTTTCATTTTTGTCTTGTGAAGTACTACAGTGGAGAACATAATGATATCTCGACAATTTGTAATAAACAAGTCTTCGCATTATATAAATTCGGTACATTCAGGGCTATTAAAAATACCCACAGTGCAGGGAGCTGTAATACAGGAAGTGGCTTTGATGATGTGTGTTAGTGGGATTCAGGTGAAGATGAAGCCGCAGCGGGAAATTCGCTCTGAAAATAAAGGGTGGCCGAGATGGTCTCACAGTGTGTGTGCGACTTCTGTATTACGCACCTAGCGACCAATCAGAGAGGGGAAAACTCTAATTGTGTGGCCAAGAGGAGACAAAGCGACCCTCCCAGCGGAGGCAATCAGTTACAGTGGACGCTCACAGCAAAGCCAATCAAATGGAAAGGTTATGAGTTATAATACCGCAGGTCTCATTTAAAATATACCGAGAGCTGTTAAACCTTGAGAAATGGTCACATCTGCTGCAGCCATGTGAGGATTCATAATGTAGCTTCATTTAAAATATACATGGCGGATGCTTTAATAAAGGCTTGATGCAGAAATGTTTCTTGTGGGAATTTATTATGACTGCTTTCTCGACAACAAAAAAAGATTGTTTTGGGTCACTAGTAGGTTGCTAAGTTGCTCCAAGGGGTTTTTAACATGTTGCTGTGCAGTTGCTAGGGTGGTCTGTGTGGTTGCTAAGGCGTTAAAGTCTCTGACATTCTGCTCTCTAGATACGGTTTGAGTCTTTGCTTCAATGTAAGTCCATGGGAATTTTTTGTCATGTTTTATCATCCTTCAGGTACAAATCATATGTGGGTGTTTCTTCAACTTGGGCCCGATTTTTATCAAAAAGAAAAAAACAGATGTCGGTTTATGTTGTTTTACTCGCAGATATTAGATCTTGAATGTAATCGTTTATATTTTTTATATGAAAACCGATTAAAATATGAATTTTGATGTTGATAAATCTAAATAAAAAATGAAAAAATTATAAATTTTTATGTGTTGTCCCTCATTTGTCATTCCCACATCAACAATTTTGACCCAATTAAGCTTGAGATGAAATAAGAGACGTGATGTGTGAAGTAAAACCGAGGTAAATGTCACAAAATCAAAGTAAATATCACTTGTGATCAATGTTTATCGTGCGTCCTTTCCAATTAAGCTGTCATTTTGTCCAAAATATCATTTAATGCTGTGAAATAGGCAAAGATGTTTGTGATTTCCACCACAAAATGCTTTAAAAATAATATTTAATTTGAGATTTGGTGGAAATAACACTGTGGTGAAATTACACTTTAAGCATTGAGATACACTGTAGGACAGTTTAGTTAACACATTAAGCTAGTAGGAGTATGAACATTTTGGTTTAAGACTTTATTGTCTAAAAGTCCACAGGAACAAAATTGTCCATAGTTGAAGGAAAACCCAAGTCCAATAACTTATGGAAGTACATAATAGCACGCCTTTGATTTAAGAGATCGTTCATTTCTGTAGCGTGCAGGATGAGATATGTTTCAAATTTCAGTACTTAGTATTGGCGTTTGTTCAAATCCCTAACCCTCCGTTTGAGTAATAGTACACTCTCAGAAATAAAGGTACAAAAG